ACCTTTATGCTGTCTGACCTGGGTTACGTCCTTGGCCGAAAACGTCAATTAAAAAAATATATATTAAAAAAAAAAATCATGGGTTATGGGGGTCAAAAAGGAAAGCGTAAATATCTTAAGGTTTGGTTTTTCTTAAAGTTGCTGTTTGCCCGTTAAGTCAGTTTAAGCGTCCGCGTCCTTCCGTGTGTGGCCGACGCCAGGCTTGGCGTAGCGCGAGGTGGTCCAGCCGAAAGCAGGAAAAAAAAAGGAAAAAAATTAAGGAAAAAAAAAAAAGTAGTTCATTCCTCTGAGCAGTTTTGACGTGGGTGAATTTTTGGCTCTAAACTGCCGTACGGCCGCAGGGTTGGGGCCGTCTCTTGCGGGAGAAGGGGGCAGCGGGGTCTGGAGGCCGAGGGCCGCAGCCGGTGCTTCAGTCGGCTTACAGCAGCTATCAAACGCAGCTGCAGCGTGCCTGGCTAAAAAAACGACTCGGTGGTGCTCGTGCTGCCATATGTTTCATAACCTTCTGCAGCCGGATCGTGTCCTTTACGGCCAAAAGCTTTGCCCGTGAAAAACAGGAGGAACGTTATGATTGCGTAGTCCCAAAAGACTATAAACGTTTACTTGATATATATGGTTGCTGTGTAACTTTGGTTACGTTTGTTTGTTTGCTCCTTATGATCCAGGACTTCAAGATGACAGGAAAAGAGTTTCTTGAACTCGGTTCTCTACAGCAAAGTCTGCACTTGGAAAAATTAAAGCGGATGGAAATCATGCTAAAGTTGTTTAATGAGCTTCCCAAAAAAGATCAGTAAGTGCTGGTAAAATAAATGAAGATAAAAGCATCAAACGTTTTAGGTCTTTTGGAGGCTTTTCTCTCCCCTTACTCTTGTATTGCAAGTATTCCATGGAGTTACAAAAATACTGAATTGCAAAGATGCTTAATTATTGACCAGAACATAAAACAAACTTTGCATTTCTAAATATGGTTAGCTCACTGTCATCTCTGTTGTTGCTCAGTTGGTTTCTGGCAGGGGATCCCCAGTGCGTAAGGTTCTGGGATTGCTGATTAGCCCTCACTGGCTCTGAGCATTGATACAGTGCTATTATTAGCTAGAGCTAATAAATATTCCAGGAAACTGGAATGTTGGAGAGCATAAGGCAGATACCTGTGTGGTTCTGCAGGAGTCGTGTTGTGTCCAGCATCGCCAGGTAAGCATAGAGCTACTAGTTTCTGCATCCCGTTCTATGCTGCTCCCCGTTCCAGGAACGTGATGCTGAGGTATCCAGGTGGTGGTATAAGAGTCAACCAGGGTCCGGCAGGCTTGTTAGCAGGGGATCTGCACAAAAGACAGCTAAATGCCTTCCATCACCTCACAAACAATGTTTGTGTGTTTTATGGTACTGCATTTGACTGCAGCTGGTTCTGCGGTCCGAGACCTAGCTGGCTGTATAAGGAGCTGGTTGTACACATGTATCTTGGATAGACTTTGTACGAATGGTTTAGTTATAGGAAGCATTTTTTTTAGTAGGACCAAATTGCTGGCTAAGCAAACTACAGATAGTAACCTAGAGCCTTCCCACGCAGGTGAAAAAGAGCAGAACGCAGAGGCTTTGTCCCACGCGTTGTGGTCAGTGGTGCAGCTCTGTGCAAACTACAGATAGTAACCTAGAGCCTTCCCACGCAGGTGAAAAAGAGCAGAACGCAGAGGCTTTATCCCACACGTTGTGGTCAGTGGTGCAGCTCTGTTAAGCTCTGCTGGGCTTACGTTCAGTTTTAGCACTTCTCCTTCCCCAGAACAGCCAGCGTGCTGGGGGGGAGGCAGAGACCTCAGCGGTGATGTGGTAGCTTTTTGATAGAGAGAACCCATGGTATGTAGGGTCTGGAGAGCCCTGGGAGAGAAATAGCTGCCAGAGGTATGGGCCTTTACTTGAAACTGCCCTGGCAGGACTTAACAGTTGGTACACCCAGAAGGGAGGTCGCCAGTGGCACAAAGGGAAGAGGAAGCATGCTAGAGTCAAATTTACAGACCTCTTGTTCACCAAAGCCCTTTTAATACTAGGGAGCTAGCATTAAAAAAAAAAAGTACCCTTGCCTGCCTTTCTTTCTTTCTTTCCTTTATTGCTGTGCAGCAGTTCTGCAGGTCAGTAAGCCTGGTTAGATTCTGTTGGTTCTGGATGCATTAATGTGCTCTGTTTTGGATTTTCAAATACACTGCTAAATTTTAATCTCAGTCTTCCACATGTATGTATATGCACTCGTGCATTCCACAGCCTATGACCGTAAATGTGCTATTAGAATAAAATGGCTCAGTTGCAGAAACTACTCTGGGGGACGGTCAGTGAATGACATCCAGTGCTGAAAAGACAATGATCTGAAAGGCAAATAGGCCCATTTCTTTAGAGAGGGGGGGAAAAAAAAACCTAAATAAGAGCAAGAGAGGTGTTTGACCAGCCAAGTTCTTTTGCTATATAGCATCTTAATTAAATTATTAGTAGCTTATTTCATATTTGAAAATTTTATATATACAAAGAATTAAAGTCTTAAAATTTCCCTATTCAGAATGAAAGTAATTGATATAATTGATGTCAGATCCTTTTAATGTTTAGGTTTTGCAGAATAAGCTGCTAAATCTCTGAAGTCTTTTTTTATATAGTTTGTCAATGATTAATATTAACTTTCAGCATTAGAATATGAAAGTGTTTTAAATTGGTGGATTTTAAAAATCATTTATTTTAAATGCTGAATGCTTTAGAGATTTTCATATTTGATAATTTTGCAAATAAATATGACATTTGGTCTAGGATACGTTTTGTGACCAGTTGAGCATTTTATTTTCTTCAGGGTTTTAGCCGTAAATCCAACTGATGACGTATTTTGACAACACGCTTTTACATAATAATATTGGCACAGCTTCAAAATCAGAATGCCTTCCAGTTAATTGCTTGCCTGGCAATTGTTCCCGTTCTGGGAATTTTAGATTTGTGGAAATTGAAGACTAAAGCAAAGAGTTGTTTCCATTAATCAGCTGATTTAGCCAGCTATACTGCTAAAAAATAGGAATGGAAACCATCCTTTTGCAAGTCAAATGAAATAAATCACAAACTGCTAATCAGGCTTGTAAAATAGGCACAAAAGCCTGCAGAGCCCTTAAAGATGATCTGCTAGCAGCTGCAGAGGTCTTTACTGAGTAAAGATCTGTTACCGTAGTTGTCCCACCTGATCTATTATAAGTTCTCGTTTTGAACCCAACTCTGTACTTGTGAGTAAGCAGACTGATTACTGGAACTAGTTTGGGTTTGGTAGTGTTTTAATTATTTCTGAGAAAAATGGTGATTAGGAGATATAAAGTTTCCGTTAGTCTTAGCAAAAATCTTGTAGAAAAGGCTTCTTGGATCCAAGATGCATTTCCTTCTGATATACTGTAACCTGTAACTGGGTGGTTACTTCAAATGTGGGAGACCCAAGCTCTGGTTCCCCATGTAGTTTGTATAAATTTATGTTCTTTCTAGGATAGAAAGAGAAAATGCCAAAGAACTTCTACAAAATGATATTTTTCTGACATGAAAAGAATAACAAACAGTTAATACAAGTGAAACACGCAGCTGGAGACTTGAAAGACTGACCTGCTAGCTTGGTGTTCTAAACAGTTGTGCAGAATGTGTGCGTTCATGTTAAATTGCTGCTTCAGATCCTGTGGATTTTTTTTTTTCTCCCACATACCATTACTGTTGTTTTTCTCTCCAGCACTGTGGTAGTAATACTAGCTAAAATAAGGGCTTAACATTTGGAACTCCATTGTACTAGATGCTGTACAAATATTTCAAAATTGCAAATCTTTAAGGAATCTAATAGAGCATGGATGCTCTATTAGAGCATCCCCCCCAGACATGTGGGTAGAGGAGAGGAAGAAGGTTGGAGATAAGGCTGCCAATGATGCAGTTACAGAAATGAGCCACTGCACAACTCTGATTCAGTTCAAAAGTCATTCTAGTGATCAGTTAATATATCTTCTGTTTACACAGTATTTATTTAACATAAACTTTGCTGGTGGCATAGTTTCTAGCAATCTTATTTAACTTGCGTGTTCATATTTGTTAAAACTTCTGTCTTTTGGCTTAGTAGTGTCAGAACAGATGGGCCGATGTGGGTAGACAAAAGGACGATGGAGGAAAAATCTGAACTGGGAAAAGAGGGCAGGGAGCTTAAATTTTCTTATCACGCAGTCTACTCTAACTTATGTCTCATGTGCCCTTCACATTGGTGGACTTACTTACATTTTGTAGCTAAGACTGCTTCTGCTATTTTTTCCTGTATGTTTTGTCTTTTTGTAGTATTTATAATGTAAACTCGAAGGCAAGTACTGCATTTTATCCTTCATACAGACGTTAGCATGTTTTGGGAGATACCGCAAGGTGATTAACTTCTGTGTCTGCTCTGTTGATAAAGTTCAGAGTACTGGAGCTCCGTGGAGGTTGAAGAGCCATGACATGAGTTAGTTTGAGGGGGAAGCTTTTTCCTGGGGCCGCACTGGGACCCAGCTAGGAATAAAGTGTGTCAGAAACAAACTTCACGCTTTCCTTTTCCACTTGTGTGGCAGTAGTACATGGGTATGTTTGTGTACACGCAAGTGCATATGCGCATGTATGCACACTCTTCTTGTCCTGACATTTTTTTGCTTGTGCTCTTCCTCTCTGTATCGCTCTATTTAAAGCAACAGGATTGATACCCAGCAGCAAGGGGCTATTAAGATGGGAGAAATTCCCTTTGCTGCACTCATTTCTGTGTGAAACATAGCAAGGTGCTTAGGAACTTTCTCTCTACCTTGCCTTAGGAGCACTGGACATAATGGTAGTTGTCAGTCTTTACCCTTTATACTCATTTGCTATTAGTAGTATAAAGCACTAACCTTGTCCCAGGGCTTAATATAAACACAGAAATATGTAAATCAGGATCCAAATTCTATTGCTTCCTGCATGCTTCTGCTTTTTCAGTTTCATTCAAAGTAGTTGAACTTCAGTAACAGGCTTGCTTTGTGTTGGGGCTTTTGAGCTTCCATAGTTTGTGCAGTGTTTATCTTCATTCCCTCAGCCGTATGAATGATGATTGCAAAGACCCATACGGTTTAAAATAGCAGATATTTCACATTGATATTTCTGCTTTACTTCCACATAAAAGGATATGGACCACTTAATTATGTAAGGAATCTCATCCCTGCAGCCCTGAAACACGAGACTGAATTACATCTACCCTTTCTTGTCACCCTTGCTAATTCTTTCTTGAACTGGGCAGCATTGAAAAATAGAAGGTATTAATGTCACTTCATTTCTGAAGCTTGTGTAATTCAGGCATATAGCAAAGGATGCTATACTGCTTGCTTTTGAAAGTAGTTCATCTCCATTTGGGATCTGCAAGAGGGTTGCATCTATTACCTCTTATTGTAGAATATTCAGAAATAGATTATAGCATTGAGTAAACCAAACTCTTCCATGGTTCTCAATTACTGAAGTTATCTTTCTCTTTTGTTTGTTTTTTTTGTTTTCACAGGAACCTTTTTAATCATGGGTCATACTTCCTTGCAGGAAATTCAAGCTTATGTGGCTTAGCAGCAAATAATTTCTTCAGGCGCACCCTAAATATCACAAAGGCTCCCTTTATATCTGCTTTGCCAATGGCTGTTATACCGTTTCTGTCAACAACAGCAGTTTATGAAGTTTTTTTGCGTCAGCCTTTATTTTTAGGTAAAATTTCATTATTCATTGTTTTTAAAGGACATTGCTTTCTCTACATGATGTAACGCTAGAGGAGCGTTTCCTATTTCAACAGTACTGATCTTAAAGTGTTCTTTAAACCCTGCCTTGCAAAGCAAGGTTTTCAAGATCACAACAGTTCATCTAGTGCATTGGGTGGATGCAGGTTCTTCAAATTGTGAATGGGAAAGACGATACCTCTGTATGTGTGTATATATATGTGTACGTGTGCGTATTAAAAAGCAGATTTTTGTGATGTGCATCACTGATATTTCTACCATTTTTCACCTGAGAAAATCATGCAAAATTCATATTTGAACTGCAACAAGGCAGTTGAGTTTCTGCCATCTGTATGATTTCATTTGAAGGTCAATTATAGAGCAATAATTGGAATAACAGTAATTTTTTGCAAAAGATAGAGCTTTTTTTTTTTTACCTTTCTGAATGCCTGTTCAGCATGGACTTTACTGCCAAGTGCCTGTTTCCACATTGTTGCATACAGCTTAAGGCTGATGTGTAGGAACTATGTGGATATTGACAATGAAAATGTTTTATTTTGTCATGCAGGTGACCTAAACTGTGAAATCTGTGCTGTGGTCAGAGGAGGATTAATAGGGGCTGTTGTGGGTGGTGTCTATCCTTTTCTTTTGGCTCTTCCTGTGAATGCAAGCCTTGCAGCCAGGTATGTCTTATTAACTTGCAGTGAGTGAAATTGATTTATTTTGTCGAATCTTGGTTTGCAGTTTCAATCCTGCAGATTTTCATCCTGTGCACACCTCTCTTCTTGTAGATACTTAGTACATGGAAGAGGATTTGTATTAAATTAACTCGTCTAATTACAGAGCAAAGTTCACAAAAGCTACGCTAACAATCAAACCTCCAAAGCGAAACTCAATCTGCAAACTGAGACATACTGTAAAGCGTGTGAGATTAGCTGGAACCTTACAACCTAGTCATGATGCACATGGCTGTGTTAAATTGTAGCTACCACCCTTGAAAGCGAGAAAGATTGTTGCTTAGTGCTGTTTGGCTGGAGAGCTGAGAAACACTCCAGCTTCAGAGCAGCACCCAGCACCCAAACTCTATGGAAAGTGTAATTTTGCAGATCTGGTCAGGGCATAGGGAGGGAAGGTTAGAGCTGCTGTCCCAGTAAGTGATCGGCTGCATTGCAGGAGATACTTTGTAGAATTTATCTAGAGAGGGAATTGGAAACATCCATGCAGTCTTACAGTTAAAACCAAGTATAAAACAGTATTTAGAGTCATGTAGCATTCTTGCAGGCATATTTACAGTGAAACAGTGACATATTTACAAATGTATGGCTGTTATTTTTGGCTCAGTATCTGAAGGGCTAGTCACAACTTCCTGTAAAATAAACTTATTTGTCCAACAGACAAATTATTTAATATCTTTTAAATAGCAGATTGCCCATAAAGCAGAAATATGTATCTTTGAACCAGGAGAGCATTTCCTAGTAAACAGAATGGTGACCCAGCTATACTAACCACACCTCTGTGGCTCCAGACAAATATCTCCACTTCTGTCATCCCACTTCCCGAATAAGTTTTCTCTGAAGTATTCGAAGGATTAGCTTGTGAGGTACTTCATCAGTGTAATAGTTCTGTGTTATGGAGAATAAGAACTGATGTAAGTTCAGGTTGTCTTTCCAAAGTGCTGAAACAGTAATGGATCTCAGTACCACCAGCTAAATTTAAGTTGGGAGAAGGAGAGTGAATATCTACTTAATCATTTCTGATGACTTTAATTTTAAATACTAATGTTTAAGTTGGATAAAAACAGTAAGTTCTTATCATTGTTTATGTTGTTTAGGTATTAAAGCTCCCTTGCCAGGGAAGGAGAATCTGTTGCGCTTCTGGCACAGAGCTGCTCAACCTGTCTTTAAAAAGATGAGTTTTGGTATACTTGTACAGCTTCTAACTGGAATTTACCTTGCCACTAAACATCATGGAATATATGTCCAAATGCTGCAGCAGGTAAAACCTAGCAGGGATCCTGAAACGTTGGAAGCCTGAAGTTGAACAAAAAACCTCCCCGTTGCCTTGAATCAGTAATCATAATAAACAAAGAAAGAAGTTGTTGCTTGCTGCCTTTTTTTTTTCTTTTAGTAGAAAAACAAAATTAAGACTTCACATTAATGTTCTTTTCAGCTCTAAACTTACATGCAAATTAAGTTTGTTACCATGCCCTGCTTAGTATATACAATTTAGTAATAGATCTATAAGGACAGGTGTTTCCATTGGAAATGGAAAAAAGCAGTCTATTTAAAGTGATGCTAAATCTTCTGGAAACTGTAAATGAGGATTACTGAAAAAGGGTATTTCTCATCATATTGCAAACCACAGTAACTTGCTTTTTAAAAAAAAAAAAAGGAAAAGCAGATTCAGTCGAGGTTTTTCAGATTCTGAAGAATATCTAGAATATTTTCTCTCTGAGCTTTCCCCCATTCTGCTAGCTTCTAGTTTTCTCTGTGCTCCGACCACAAAATTACCCTGCTTAGGCTATTTCAGGTGACCCACAGAGCAGTCAGAAATCATACTTGTATGTCAATGACTTCCCAGCTAGGAAAAGATAGTAGGGTGTGGACGAGTTTGGATGAAGCTTATTTGATATGCATGAACTACTGCTGACTAGTAGAAGCAGTCTCTTTCATAGAGCTACTGCAACTTACTTGGTACCATTCCTATGTAATTGTGCAAGTTAAGAAAATTAAACTGTTAAGCAAGCATGCATTTAACTTTCTTAAAGCTTTCCTTTTTGACTGCAGTAAGTGAGCCCACAGGCTTTATGCACAGCTTCAAAACTTAACTAATGCTTATATGAGGCTTATATGAGGCACATAGGCCAATCAGGCTTTGTATCATGAAATAGCAATTAGCCATTTGAATTCCTTAAGTGTTTACAAGGAACACTTCAATGACTTATTTTTGTGGTTAAGGTAACAGCATTGAAACTATTGCTTTGTAATAGTAGGTTATTACTTCATCAGGTGAGTGAATGGAGGAAACTAAATAGTAGGAGAATACTGAAGTCCCAGCATTGGGCACACTTGTATATATTACAAATTTCATGATTACTGATAATTTAAAAAATTGTTTTCAAATCTTGCTTACAGAAGTGCAAATGCTAAAACAAGATTTTATGGAATTAAGAAATACATATACTGAAATAAAGTAAGCTGTTATGAGCTAGACAACTTCAGATTAAGCATTTGGCTTTTGCAGTGTTTTTTAAGGAAAACATACTGAAATTTTTTTACAGACAAAATATTTTGTTTCCAATATTATAATTTAGAAAGTGTAAGCTAGCAAAACTTCCAAAGTTAAAGCTGCTACAAAACAGATTGAGAAAGTCTCAGTATTGATGCTTGAGTCCTCAGTGAACAGATAGATAACATCTTTTCAATTTGAAAATAGTTAGCACATAAATTTATATCAAGCAGCAAATAAAGTCTAGCCAGAACAAACTTTGTCCTTCCAACCGGTTTCATTCAAAGAACAAAAATGAACAGTTTGGTTAATATGAGTATTTAACTATATATTGTTAAGACATTAAAAAATGGGCTACAGTGCTTTTACAGAGTATGATTTTCAAAACCATCTGCCATTCCATGTGCTATTTTTGATATCAGTTCAAGTGATAATTATTCTGAGTAGTCAAAATGCAAGCTGTGATATTTAATGATCTGATTCAAACCATGGTATTTTTTTTTAGATCTTAAGTTCTTGGAAAGGGTGAAAGGTTGAGAAGTTTGTGTGTAACAGGAAGAAATTCACATTACTCAGCATCTCTGCATAAGTTACAAAGACTATTTACTTCCAGCAGAACTGATGAATACACAAACTGCAAGTATTTTTTTTATTAAGTGTTCAAATTTTAGCTACAATCCTTAGGCAAGAAGCTTAAAATCAATTCAACAAAGGTAGTATTTTTTTTTTTTTAAGGCAACATTTCAATTGTACTCCCTGTGTACTTCCACTTAAACAACAGGGGAAAAAGGGTTCTCAGAACCAAGTTAAGTAAGTGTTTCAAAACTCAGTAGAGGGCAAGATGGTGTCAGGAAGTTGTAGCATGCATGCTTATGAAGCAGTGCTTTCACTGAGGTTTGGAAACACACTTCAACTCTGTTTCACAGACTGGATACAACATACCTTCCTTTATAACTCCCAAGAAGGCAAAAGACAAGCTTTTTCCAGTTCTTGGCCTCTTGCCAACTCTTAACAAATTCATCACAAAAACTGCCTCCCTGTTTGAAAATCTCTGGGTTAGAAGAGATTTTAGTTGCATCCTTTTTTCTACCATTATAGCAGAAATAAACTAGTCATAGACTATACATCAGAGTAATGGCTTTTATTGCATTCCCAGAAGAATGCATGTGTCTAATATATAAGCTATATTGATGGACTTTGACTACTAAAAGGATGGCGAGAGACTAGCTATAGATAAGAATCAAGACATGCTTCAAAAAACACCAGTTTTATCTTCGGTAAGATGTTCCATTTTGGTCATAATCTCAACGTTACAATCTACTACCAAGCAGGTAACTCTGCACATCACACTAAAGAATAACATATTCTTATAACCCTGCTTACAGGCTCCCCCTGAAGTCCCATTCCTGGCATGCTCCTGCCAAGAAGTAGAAGAAAGATTACCTAACTAAATCTTCCTCTCATATCTCATTTAAACTGGGTGAAAAATATCTAAAATCAGCTCTCATCGGTATACAGTTGTACACAAGGTTTTCTTTAAACACAGAAAACACTGGAATATCCATCTTACCTAAAATATACTTGAGACCTTTACAGCCTAACAGCAAATATAACACTATAAACGGAGTACTGTTGATTCTAGCAGAAAAATCTCTTTAACTACAAACTTCTGAGAACGCTAAGTTTTTAAAAATGGTAAATTTTACAAAAGGCCTTTGTGTTTTACAAAAGCTTGCAGTGTTTCACAGGGAAAATTGACTCCCCTTTTGTCAATTAACATCAGAAATCTGGTAACTCAGAAGTGCCAACAGATGCCAAATTTTGTGAAATGGTTCCCCACATTTACTTGGATATCATCTCTCCAGGCAGTTAAAAATTGCAGAAACACTGATTTTTCTCTGCCAGATGCTGCTGTTCCGAGAAGAGAGAGAGAAATTTACAATGGTACTAAGATTCACAGTACCAGCATCAAACTTTAAACAACTAATGAGAATGAGAGAACTGAGAATGAAACTTTTTTTTTTTTTTTATTTAACTACTAAACAGTCTTCAAGCAAGGCTGGAGAAATACTAGAAAATAAAAGTAGCGTAGCATTGCAATCCAACACAGAGTTTCGGGTTCTGTGGTGTGTTGAACTAACAGACAAGTTCTGATGCTTAGCAGGATATTCTCTACAACTGGAAGCCAAAAAGGAAAAAACACCAGTATTTGTTTGAACTAGTATTTGTTTGAACTAGTCCAAGGCATTCATGACATTTTTAAGCATTCTTCTTCCTGATTTTTTTTAAGATACCAACTACTTTAATGAGAAAGACAACCAGCAATCTACTTTAAACTCTGCTCTCTACCAAAAAATAAAAATAAAAAAAAGCATTTCTTTTGAGACTTTCACAGAAATTGAAGACTACAGCATATTGCTCACTCTGGAGCTTTAAAAAATGTTATGTCCTTTCAGAACCCTCAAATCTTTTGTTACAGTCAGCCTTGTTGTTTAATGTGGAAATAACAACCTGATGAAAGATTATGGTTTAACAGCATACTATTAGCTGGGCATCAAAATTAGGAACCTAAGAATGGAACAAAAAGGAGGAAGATGCCAATAAAACATGTAAGTATTTACATAGAAATTCTACTCTTCCATGGTTTATGAGCAAATATATCTACATTAATAAAACATTAAGAAAGAGAAGCCACTGTAAAATACAAAGAATGGCAATACTCAGAAAAGTACAACTCCATCTCAGGTTCAAGGAATAATGATTTTTTTGTCCTCGCCACAGAAGTTAATTTGAAAGACAGATGAGTAAGAACATGATTTCTCTTGGGTACCCTACTCCATTTTATCTTGTTTTCCAACATATCACCCACACAGACAGCAGCAAGAGCATTCTCCTCTTTCCGATTGCCATGTTGTGCAATGAACCACTTCATTAAAGGAAGGCATTAATGAGAAAAAGATGAAAAAATATTTGAGCCCATAAACTGAAAGATCAACAAGTCTGATTTTATTATGATACTGTATTCTTATCTGGATGGCACGTAATTACAAAGAAACAATAACACTATTTTTTTCAAGTATTAAATTGTATCATTTCAAGGCTTCTACTTCAAAAAGCTACATTAATAACACACCATACAAACAATACAGTTGGTTATCATTTCAGATAACTTCCTCCCCTCTATTTGGTTTAAATATGATTCAGTAGGCACTAGAAATGCCTGCAGCCACTTACTTTCTTGGGACTTGACCTTCTTCTTGTACCAGTACACCTAATTTTCCTTGTCATAAAATCAGCTACTCTCAGACACAGCTTGTAGATAGTTTTACAATTAGGGTGATGTGCAGGTTCCTAACACAGACCAGAACCGAGTCTCTGACTCCTATTACTTCGCAGTGATGCAAAAAGAAAGAATGCATATTTAAGTTAACTTAAAATACACTTCTGCTCTGAAGTGACTGTAAAAATGCCATTGTAACGTCCCATACCTGTTACATTACTGTTTGTCTTTTAATCAAGCATGTTAAGCTTCATAAATAAAGCATATTTACTAACTCTGAGCTAAGCAGATTCACCTCAGCTCAATCCAGCAGCTCCAATTATTTCCATTTTGCGTATCAGTTAGTACACGTCTTGAAGGCTGGCTTCAGATTCATGTGGCATTTGTACAACCCATCAATTACAGCAGGGTTACGCAATTTCAGACTGAAACTTTAAACACTCCTGTTGATGTCACAGAGGTGTAACATAACATACATCCCACCAAGACTCTTTTGCGCTGGCAATGTACTCTGAACAGCTGCAATTCTGAATACACTGGAGGAAAACCTGATTGATAGGACATTGTCTTTCAAAAAAACATCTTGGATGACATTAAATGATCCTAGCATTCAATTTTTTTTTAAGTAAAGATAGCAAAAGCCCTGTTACCTCTTTATTCTCATTTTTCATACTACCTTTTAAAATAAAGCAGGAAATGTGGCCAGCAGCTGGTCCCGTCTCTTCTGCCCCAACACAGCTGAATCCACTTTAGCATAAAGAAAAACAAGGATGCTAAATACACATATACTTTATCACACAGTGATGTTTCACAAAGAAAAATAAAACTCATACTGCTGTACGCTTCTAAGGGTCTAGTTCCAATAAAACAAATCACTGCAAGAAAATGCTTTCACCTTCTACTTAGCCTTAAACACAAAATTTAAGGCTCTAAGAAACAAGACTTCAGTAACACTAAATGCAATTTTTTTTAAGAAGTGAAGTTAATAAATGAAATTGTTTTAAATAAATCTATTCTTTGTGAAACCTCACTTTACATGTTATTATTTTCAGTTCTTCTTCCCCTAACTGACATACATATAAACAACTTAAACATTATAATACAACTGAAAAAGACAACCTACTCATCTTTCATGATAGGAAAAAACACTGACTAGTACAAGAAAACACACACTACTGTTTAGCAAACTATTTTTCCTCCTATCCCAGTTAATTATTGAGCATTTTTCAAATTATTAATCTCAAGATACATATTTGTTCCTCTCCAAGTTGTGCTTAATTATATAAAGTTATAGATTTCTGAATACTGTAGGAGGCAAATTTAAGATCTCTACAGTAAAATTAAGCACATGCATATACATGCAAAATCTTTAAAATTTAAAGCTGTTTTGAAGTAACATAGGAATTTCAGTGTGCATGGGCATAGATGTTACTTACGGTAAGCTAAAGTAATGAGTTACTTTGATGCACTGCATTCTTCAAACTGCAAGTCTCATTAGAGTTCCATGCAAAAAAGTGACATTTCTACATTAGGATTCTACTGTACAGATGTAACCAGTACTCAGGTTTTGTTAAATCAGGCAAAATTCTGCATCAGGAATTAAAACAAGCTAGAAAAGGATCCCTGTGCATCCCTAACACTAGACATAGTATTTTATACCAATAGGTCACAAATTTATTTTTTTTTTCCCCATTTAAAAAGCAATTTACTTATACTTTTGGGAATTTCCCCAATGATAAAAGACTGTAAATATCACATCTCACTTATTACCATGTTTTTCCCTTTCACCTCATCGGATATTTTAATAGCAAATTCCCATTTCTAATGGCATCAGCATTTATTTTGTAATTTAAAACATAGCTATTAGCCACTATGTTCATATTTAAAAAGAGAGAAAAGAGGAAAACAGTTAATTAGAATGACGTGATTATAATTTTCACTATTAGTTATCACCCAAAGCTAGAAACGTTTTGGCAGACTAGGTCAAATGGTCCAAGGACCAAAAAAAAAAAAACTCATTCCCTGAACCAGCCATTAGAAGAGACTGGAATAAGCAAAGCAAGCTTTCTGTTACTGCATTATGGGAATATATTGATCCTTACCAGGTTGCGAGGTGGAAAACGACTGTTCTTTAACCCCTACACAACGGAGCCTGGCAGGGCAAGCACCTAAAAGAGAAACTGTCAGAGAGGTTTTAATAGTAATGTATAACTGAGATGCAGTACAGTTTTATATGCATGCTCTTTTGCCAATCATTACTGTTTTCTTAAGTCTGTCCAGTGACGATATCTTAATGAAGTTTTTGGTTTGGTTTGGTTTTCTAAGCGTTTTCAGGTCCTCAGGATAAGCAGGCTAGACATTATCTGACTCAAGGCTGGGTAGACAGCGTTATCCTTTAGTGGCAACTGTGAAGAGGAACCGAGCACACCTTCCAGCATGAACTTTTCACCCAGGTGCTGCAAACGGGCTCTGGAGGCACCTCTGCGTGTACACGCGCCTGTCAGTCTGCACCGCAACCATCGCACCCGCTGCACGCGGCTTTGCCCGATCCCTGCGCCACAAGCGGGCTCAGACCACCGCCGTCTGCCCACCAGATTTACACGGCCTTCCACCGAGGCCGCCGTCCGGCTCCCAACGTGCTGTTCAAGAGATTTAATTTTTGCGTTGCCCTGGCCGTTTTAAGCGCCCAGGCTCCCTTCCTCTGCACCTCTCCCGATACCAACCCCGTCTCCACTGTACTTCTTCCTTTATTTTTTTTTTTGGGGG